AGAAAAAGCTAATTCAAGGATCTGAAATCCAAAATATTCCAAATTCAGAAACCTTTTGTGAGCACTGACACGATTCTTACAAATGGAAAGTTCTACATCTGATTTCATGTGACCAGTTGCAGTCAAAATGTTGTAATACATTCAAAATGTTGTAATATAGAAGTTGTAATACAAAAGTGCTGTATAAAATTATCTTCAGGCTTTATGTATAAAATGTATATGGAACAAATGAGTTTTATGCTTAGACTGAGATCCCATCCCCAAAGTATCTTATTTTATTTGTCTTTAAATATGGACATAATGAAAGTGATATTTTCTGGTTTTTATTTGCATTTCTCTGATGGCTAATGATGTCAAGTAAACTATTTTTAACTAAGTTATTTTTATTTGGTCTTTCTATTACGGAATTCTAAGAAAGTTCTTTGTATGTTACAGATATAAGTATCTTAATATAGACAAAGATTTTCTTCTTTGGGTTGTCTTTTTACTTTCTTGATGGTGTCTTTTGAAGCTTAACAGTTTTATTTGATGTTTAGGCTGTCTGTTTTTTCTTTGTGTGAAGAAGGGATCCAAATCATTCTTTTGCATGTGGCTATCCAGTTGACCCAGCACCATTTGTTGAAAAGATTGTCCTTTCCCTGTGGAATGGTCTTGACACCCTTGTTGAAAAGCAGTTGACACTAATTCATGGGTTTATTTCTGGACTTTAAATTTTTAAAAATTGTTCTAAATATCTATATTCCAGTACTGAACCGTCTCGATTGCTGTTTCTTTGTAGTAAGTTTGGAAATCAAGAAATGAACCAGCCCTCTTTGTTCTTTTTCAGGGTTGTTTTAGTGAGTCTGAATCTCTTCAATTTCCATAAGAATTTTAGGATTAACCTGTCAAATTTCTGCAAAATCACCTTGATTTGTGATAGGAATTTTTTGACTCTTTTGTTCAATTTGGGGAGAATTGCGATTTTAGCAATATTGTTTTCTGATCCATAAACGTGGGATATCCATTTTCAGCTCTTAAACAATCATCTTTGGAGTCTATTTTTTCTCAACTAGAATGTTCACTTTGAACATGCAGCTTCACAAATTACATTAACATAACTGAAGTCCTCAGGCCTACAATGTCAGGAATAGCTCAGAGGGTTAGCTATGGTTCTTAATTAAAAATGAATTAAATTGATAGAAAACAAATATCTGGAAACTATGTAAATAAAATAGTATGAAGAATGGATGTTTTTCATGTGAACATTCATATAAAAAGTAGCATGGTCTGTTTTGGGACTTGTTTGTAAACTTACTTTCTTTTTTTTTTAATCTTAAATATGTCAGGTATAGGAGATAGATTGCTTCAGGCAAACTTACAGGTCTGTTTCCTGAAGGTAGGAATAAACTCTGTAAAAAAAATTAAAACTCTCTTGTATTTCGATTCTCTGACATAAATAGTCCTTCTTGGACTTGTCATGGGCATGTACCAATGATGTAATAATGATGATTGTATCAGAAGCATTACAGGCAGCTCTTGGTATGATAGGTGGTGAGGCTGTGTGTGTGGTTATTTTCACTATTCCAAGGGCCACATGGAGTTTGTCATCTCTGATAAGACTTCAGTGCATTAGTGATGAAAAACTACTCACCATTGGCCATTGTGATCTCCCAGAAACTATAAGGCATACGCAGCTCAACAGTAAGTAAAGTGCCTGTTGTCTTGTATAATGTGATTGAAGACAAACATGCAGACCACTTGTTGGTGGTACTCCATCTTGTGCCAGCCTCATGAGATAGAGTAGGTGACCTATAAATACATGGACACTAACGTCACCTCTATTTTCCTGGTTTTTTTGTTTGTTCGTTTGTTTGTTTTTGGTGGTGGTGGTATTATCAATGCTCATCCATTTTAAAACTAGACTTTTTGAAATAGAATATTTTCAAGCTTATTTTTGCCTATGATTGATCTCTTCCAGTTTCTTGTTCATTCTTGTTGCTTGTTGATTCAAGAGTTGTATAAAAGACTCCATTGTGTGAGTCCTGGTGTTCTTGTGTTTGATTAGTGACATCATCAGAAGTGTGGCCCAGCCTCACAAATGCCTGCCTCTGGTCTAGAGAAGACGTTTGGGAGAGGCAGAATAAATAGGTACTTGATAATTGTGATCTGAGGGTTGTTAGGCTCCACTGTTTAGCTTTCCTATCCATCTCCTCACATTCAGTAAATGGTTAATAATTGAAAATTTCCAAATCAAGATTCATTCATTATTTTTCTCTTTTAATTGCCAGAGGACAATTATACACTTGCAAGACAGAGAGAGAGAGAGAGAAGGAGAGTCCATGCACACCCTCCACCCTGTGGGACATGGCCATGCCATTATCCTTTTTCCTTTTTCTGCCAGGATTTTAGGGTGCACACACCCATGTGCCTGGCATGTTTTTCAAGTCACTAGTGCCAGGATTTGAACTGCGATCAGCTATGTGAGATTCAGCTCTCTACACAGCTCTTAACCATGTGCTACAGGCTGTTCCATGATTGATTCTTTTGATTTGAGGCTTCTATCCTGTGTGAGTCGGGTTTCTTCATGGAGATAGACCAATACTATGTGTACAGATAGTTAAGAGGGACTGTATTTGGGGAATTGACTGAAGCGATTATGGTGATCAAGAAGTCCCCCACCAGGACATCTGTACACTGGAGATTCTGGGATACTGGTAGCCTAGTTCAGTTCGAGTTGGAAGGCTTCAGATGATGTAACTCATGGTCTAACACTGAGAGCCTGAGGACCCCAGGGAGTGGGGAAAATGCTCATGTAAATCCTGGGGTCTGAAAGCAGGTGAGCTTTGAGTTCTGTTTTCTAAGGCAGCAGGAGAAATCTGTCCTGCTCTCTCAAAAGAGACCCATCTGTCCTCTATATATAGTTTTCTCTGGACCCCTTGATTGGAATGTTCCTGCCCATTCCATACACATCGAGGGTAGGTTATCCAAATATAGCCTACTCACATGGGCATCTTAATCTTTCAGAAACACCCCCATGGACACACCCAAAATAATGCTTTATCGGGCTTCTAGGTATTCCTCAGTCCAGTCAGGTTATACCCAAAATTAACCATTACACATCATTGGTTAAAATTCACCTCTCCAGAAAACAAAAAACCAAAAAACCAAAAAACAAACCAGGGACCAGCAGATGGTGTAATGGCTACATTGCTGAACTCCCATGTAGTCAACTGCGGTTTGAGTCCTGGACCTTGTGGCTTAAACTTAGGCTGGGTGTGTGTGCGTGCTTGCCCAAGATCCTGAGAGGACAGTGGAGGAGAAGCAATTGCTGCATGGCCGACCCCCCTAGGGCATGATTTCTTGCTTTCTGTTTTTCTGTCCCCCTCTGTCTTTCTGGCGAGCTTATGCGCCCTATAGCAAAAAAAAAACTCTCAAAAAAAAAAAAATTTAAATGGTGTGTGATGGGGGGATGGTTAAGGTGCTGGACTCCCACATGACCAACCACTGTTGGAGTCCTGGACCTGGCAGCTTGCTTTTTCACTTTCTTCCTACTCCACCCCCATCTCTATCTCTTTCTGGTGAGCGCACATGCCCTATAACAAATTAAAATAATAATCATAATAGTAAAATTAAATTGTTAAAAATTCAAATAATGAATATGAGATATGAAACATGACAAGGTTAAATCTTACAGATAATTTGTGTTTAATTGGTGTCATATACAGAGTCATACAGAGTTTGATAGCTCTCAGGAGGCAGTGAGGAGTGAGAAAGAGAATGAGAACACACAAGTCAGCTACTAGATACTGAGGGAGGTAGGAGAAAGCCAGAAAAGGGGCAGGTGTGTCTGGAGTCACTAAAGAGAGCTTCTGTACACTGTTATTTTACCTAGGGACAGTGGACAGCCTTTTCATTGTTAGCAGGAGTGTTTGTGGTGACAGTTTTTCTGGGGAAACCCTTTAGAGCAATATTTGGCAAGGTACAGGTCTGAGGAGCAAATCTAGTCTACTACCTGGGGACAAAGTTTTATTGGAACATACACATTCTCTTTCATTTATACACTATCTTTCAGCTTTCATGCTGCAGTGGCAAGTAGATTTGGCCCACAATACCTAAAATACTTATCTTGCCCTGTGCAGGAAGAGATTTCCAACAACTGGTCTAGAGAGTCTAGACTTTTGGAAGACTAAGCATGGGTCATAGATATCGTGAGTTTATTTTCGACTTTATAACCTGATTTTACCACTATACGGACTCCGGGGAATAGTTTTCAGGAAAGATTATGACTTTCCTCACGATGAATGCTTGATTATGGTAACAAAGGTTTAATTTGAAAAGTATTCTGATTAGGGCCAGTAGGTAGTGTGGTGGTTAAGGCTCTAAACTTCTACATGGACGACAGTGACTTGAGTCCTGGACCTGGCAGCTTGCTTTCTCACTTTCCTTCTCTCTCTGTCTCTGTCTGTCAAGTGCACATGCCCTATAACAAATAAAAATAATAATAATAATAAAATTAATTAAAAAGAAATTCTGACAATGATGACACTGCTGGGATTTTATAATAATTAGTTAAAAATAATTATTTACTTTTATTCATTATTATTATTATTATTATTATTATTATTATTATTATTGTTATTATTTTAAATTCACCAGAGAGAAGCAAGAGAGAGGGAACTTGAAGCATGGTTGGCCATGTGGGAATCCAGCACCTTAACCACCATGCCACCTATTTGCCCCAGACACTGCTGTGCTTTAAACCTAATTAGCCATTGTAAAATTAATCTCTGATGATACGTGAACCTGACTCACCAGCCTCTTTCAAGTGCTTCCATTTTATAAAAGGGGGAACTATTACTGTTTTTCCTCTAGATATTTATTCTTTCATTTTTAAAGACCATGTATTTGTGTCATTATAACTCATTTAAACATAAATATGAATATAAATAAAACATGTAATCTCACTCTTAGAATTAAAGTGTTTTGGCACAGTAAATTTATTTTCTCTTCACTTGTCTCAGCGTGAAGTCCATGGCCCAAAATGACTCTACCAGTGGAGACTCTCTTCTGTAAAGAAGACCAGATCGGAGGCTGGGATGAGCATGCCACTGCATCAGATCTCTGCCATTCCACCCCAGGATGCCATCTCTGCTAGAGCCTACAGAAGTAAGACCAAAGAAAAGGAGCGGGATGAACAGGTGATGGAAGAATGCCATTAATTTTATCAAATGTTAGTTAAAAATGATCTAGGGGGTCTTCAAAACCTCTAAAGATCAGAGTTTTCTCTGGTAAATATACTAATAAGCACACAAATAGTTGTGCTTATAGGAAATTGTCTTTTGCAGGGCCAACAGATGGCGTAGAGGTTAAGGCTCTGGATTCCATATGGCCAGCAGTTTGAGTCCTGGACCTGGTGACTTGAGAATCACACCAAATGCGTGTGCATGCGTGCCAAAAATCCTTAGAGGAGACTAGAGGAGAAGGGATTACAGAGAGGCCGTCTCCCCCAACCCCATGGGGGATGATTGCTTACTTTTCCTTTCTCTGTCTCTGGTGATCTCACACACCCTCTAGCACAAAGCTAAAAAGAAAAAGAAAGAAACTGTTTTTTTAGTAGGTTTTGGGGTTTTCAGATTTTGGGGTAAATATAATATGCGTATATAAATGCTTATATAAATGTTTATCTTCATTGATTAGGTACACCTGATTACTTTTTTTTTTTTTTTGGGAGGTTTTTGCTATAGGGCGCTTGCCAAAAAGACAGAGAGAGACAGAGAGACAGCGAGAAATCACCTCCCCGGAGGTATGGCCACGTTGCAGTTCCTTCTCTTCCATTCTCCTCTCAGGATCTTGGGCATGCACGCACATGTGCCCACGTAAGTTTTAAGCCACTGGGTCCGGGACTGGAACGACAGTTGACTACATAGGAGTCCAGCGACAGCCATTATGCCAACTGCTGGTCCCCTGATTACTTTTCATAAATCACTGAGACAAAGTTCTTTGGATGCTCAGAAAATGATGGAAAGGATAAATTTATTTGGCAAAAATTTATGAGTGTTCTTGGTGTAAGGAGTATTATTATAGTTAATTGCACAGTCTGTCTCTGCTCTTGTATGGCTTATGACCTGTCTTGATCATTAAGTATGCATTAGAATTGAATAAGGTCAGTGATAAAGGAAATTCAGGACCACCTAGTTCCAGCCCAAAGGTTTAGAAAAGGCTTTCTGGAGAAAATGGAATTTATGTGGAGACCTAAAATGGTGATCTGTAACTAGAAGAAAGAGAAAGGAAACACTACATGCTAAAGGTCCAAAGGTTAGAGCAAGATAAATTTGAAAAAGTTAAAATAGAATAGCTCAAATACGAAGTTGAATTGGGTAATGCCAAGAGGTTAGAAAAGTTCGGAGGAAGTTATCTTAAGAAATTTGGATTTATTTTTGCACAAGAGCGAATGATCAGATTTTTGTTTTGAAAACTTTCACTGAGGCTGCACTTTGGAGATAGAATTGAGTGAGTGGTAGGAAGACTAGCTAGAGGATTTTTTAAGAGCTTTCTTATTCCAGGTTTGGCATGCTTTTTCTGTAAAGAGCCAGATAATAATTGGGTTGTCAGAAAAGTCATGGCACATTTTTGTTTTTCTGTGCAAAAATGCATCATGGCTCTTCAGACAACTCAATATTTTAAACTTTGTGGGATAGACTCTGCCATTATTCTGTGAAAACACTGTTAAAAGAAAAACTGTAGACAAATCTAATTTAGCAGAACTTAATTAAGCAGAGAATGAGTTGTGAACTGGGCGGCCTCTGCCCAGTATGATTTCCAAAGAACTCCGAGATGCTGTGTGGTTGAATTACATTTATGGGAAAGAAAAGTGACTACAGAAAGTGGGAGTGAGGGAAATGAGGTAGAGAAACAGCTGGATTAGTCACATCTTGATGTTTGCCTCCTGTAAACACATTTCAGAAGATGGACTGTCTGTGAGTGACTGAAGCTTGACTGCTGTGATTGGCTTTGACTCAGCACTTTGTTAAGGAAGCAGACTCCTAATGAAGTTGTGGTTCGTTTAAAAGAATTCAAGTATATGAATATGGATGCCTTCTCAGGCCAATATAGTTTGGCTTAATCACTTCTCCCCTTTTGGTCAGTCAGTTTTGAGACTTAGGACACTGATACTACTCTTTGTCACCGTTTAAATGACTGGCTTGTTCTCTGCATAGAACCCACTGATCTGTACTGGTTGCAGCATGGAATCTGTAAGTTGACTAGTTTTTTTTTTTAAAAAAACGTTCTTTCTGATCTGGTTGAAATGAGCATTTTATATTTGATGAATAGTTGACTGCAAAATATTTAAGACATGAGAAGATACAGCACACCTAGGGAACTAATATGACTGTCAGGAGGATGATATCAAAATATCAAATTATACTCCTTCAAAAGAGTTCCTGTGAAACAAACTGGACCAAATTAAATAAGCCAAGGTCCAGCAGTATTGTCGGTTTAACAGTACTTGATTCTAGTTGGTCATGGTCCTTGTTCGGGATGTGCTGATGATTAAGGACCATAGTTCTCCGTAAAATGGCTTGATTTAAAGATGTATCCAATCTTTGTACTTAGAACACAAGTCAAAATAATCTAGAGACATCATAGAGAAAATACAAACAAGCCTTGAAAAACCCAGACTACTATCCATTTAGGATGTTTGCAAACCAACTGTTAGTTGCTTCTGTAAACACATTATCTGTTCCTGTCTTTTGACTTTTTTTACTTTGGTGGCATTGTCTAAGGAAACAGCAATTATCAGCTGCCTTTTAAATTAAGCTTTTTGTAATAATAAAATCAAGGGAGAGATAGATACATTCAGTTTTTTTCAGTACCAAACACAAGCCTCCAACTTGAGCAAAAAGAAGATCTAAAGCTGCACGATGTCCCCTTAACTGTTTTTGTTGAACTCACATGCTGTCATCTACTTTTGGTTAGTAGTTTTACCCATCTGAAACCCTGGGAGGTCTGATTTGCTACAAAATCTGGAAATTTCCTCAACTTATAGACAAGCTTTGAATTTTATGCAACTGGTACTCCACTACTGCCAAGAGGAGTCCCTGGAGTTTCCTTCTTGGAAGAAAGATTCCATAGAGTCTTTAGATTATCAAGGATAGCTTTTGGGACCAGCAGATGGCACAATGGTTATGTTGCTGGACTCCCATGTAGTCGACCATGGTTAGAGTCCTGGACCCAGTGGCTTAAACTTAAGCCGAGCGTGTGTGTGTGTGCCCACAATCGTAAGAGAAGAATGGAGGAGAAGGCATTGCAGCGTGGCCATCCCCACTAGGGGATGATTTCTTTCTGTCTGTCTCTGCCTTTCTGGTGAGCGCATGTGCCCTATAGCAAAAACCTCTAAAAAAAAAAGGCTTTTCATTCTTCCTTTGTGGTTTCAGGGTGACTTACTGGGAACATAGACAGGAATTGGTGGAATTACTTCTACTTTTCTTTCTGCTCTTTTTTCTTTTCTGTCCTTTTTCTTTCTGCATTAGACTACAAGCCCAACAACTCCTCTGTTTTTGTGTTAGCACATAATTTTGAACTAAAGCCACTCGCTAATTTCCCTGTAGGGAATAGGAAAGAATTAGGACAGTAGGAAATGAGGAAAAGGAAAAAGCATAAGGTGGCAGAAAAGTCTTGATTTTTTTTTTTTTGAGAGTTTTTTTCGCTATAGGGCGCGTGCGCTCACCAGACAGACAGAGAGAGACATAGAGACAGAAAGTGAGAAATCACCCCCCCCCCGGGGGATGGCCACGCCGCAATCCCTTCTCCTCCATTCTCCTCCATTCTCCTCTTGGGATCTTGGGCACGCATGCACACGCACCTGGCGTGAGTTCTAAGCCACCGGGTCTGGGACGCGAACCGCAGTCGACTACGTGGGAGTCCAGCAACATAGCCATTACGCTAACTGCTGGTTCCCAAAAGTCTTGATTTGTGATCTTGTGTAAAGCTGTCTATTTCTAGGATAGAGTGTGCTTTGGGGAAGAAATTTCCTCGGTCAGCTTTACTTGAAAGTCTCCAAAAGGTGTACAATTTCGAGAGTCTGAAGTGGCCTTTCTGAGTTGTGAGATGTGAACCTAAGGCTCGAGACTTTGAAGGTTCACTGCAATGTGAGTAGTGAGAACTTGGTATGGCACCTTCCTGCAGGGTTCCTTGGATAGTCTCTCTCTGAAGTTGTTTCCAGAAGAACCAGTCTCTTGAGTTCTAGGCTGCGGTCCCAGAAGTTTGTTTGTTTGTTTGTTTTCTTTTTTTTTTATTTTGAGAGATTTTGCTATAGGACAAGTACACTTGCCAGAAAGAGAGAGACAGAGAGACAGAAAGCAAGAAATCATCCCCCTGGGGGATGGCCATGCTGCAGTCCTTTCTCCTCCACTCTCCTCTTGGGATCTTGGGCACGAATGCACATGTGTCTGGCGTGAGTTTAAGCCATCTGGTCCGAGACTCGAACCATGGTTGACTACATGGGAGTCTAGTGACATAGCTATTACACCAACTGCTGGTCCAAAAAGGGTATAATTATTACAAAATTTTCTTTTGAGAGGTTTTTGCTATAGGGCACATGTGCTCGCAAGAAAGACAGAGAGAGACAGAAAGTGAGAATCCTCCCCCCTCAAAGGGGATGGCCACGCCGCAATCCCTTCTCCTCCATTCTCCTCTTGGGATCCTGGGCATGCACACACATGTGCCCATTGTGAGTTTAAGCCACCGGGTCCAGGACTCAAACCATGGTAGGCTACATGGCAGTCCAGCAACATAGCCATTATGCCAACTGCTGGTTCCCCCAAGAGTTGTGTTTTTAAAATGTGATTATTTCTGATCATTGATATTATTCCTTTACTTGTCACATTAGTAGATGTACAAAATATCAGGTCTCCAGGGAAGTCATAACATATTTTTCTATGTTATTCTATATAAAAATGCATCATGGTTTTCCCAATGATCCAATAGAAGTTGTCACCTGATTAAGTTTTCTTTCTGATGCATTTTTGGACATTTTCTTCATAGTTGATTTTTTCAAGTTGTGCTATCGAATATCTATACTTCAGATGTTTTCAAAAGTACTACTCACTCAGTCTTCCATTGACCTTTCTTCTCTGACACATCAAAAAATAATCTTCAAATGGGCATACCCACATGTCTAACTAAGTTCATTCAAGCT